CTGCAGCTTCCAGTTTTGAGCTAGAGAAAGATTTATTCGTTGTGAAGACTGTGCCCAGGTTCTAGCCCATGAATTCATGGCTTTCCACAAGGCAGAAGACATCTTTAAGCCCCCATGTGCAAACTATCCACCCTTTTCATCACAGAGATTAAGAGAGAGGAACAATATCATGTTCAGAAACTTTTATCTAATCATTTTTAGGTTCTCATTTGATTATAAAATTCAGAAAACTTTTTCACATATGTGAGAAATTTCAACACATTGACACCAGAAAGGACAGTGCTATTATGTCTGTGCAGGAGGAGGTATGTTAAAGCACAGAGCTGCCTTCCTCCAGAGCCATACTAAAAGCGAGAGGGATGAGGAGCAGCCGCTCGCTGCATTTCCCAGCAGCTCTAAGGTTAGAGGTGCAGCCTGGGTTATCTCAGGGCATGTTTATGTGGAGCAGAGGTGTACCATGCACAGGACCTGAGCTAAATGCCCCAGTGTGCCTCCCCATCTCCCAGGGCCCCCAAGGAGTATTTAGTGGCCAAATGCAGCAGGAACACAGACCAGCTGTCCCCACTCCCCTGGGCACAAAAGACAAGATAGAGCCTCTCCTATGGAAACGTGTCATTGCTGTGACATCCCTAGTGCTGCATCTTGCTTGGTGAAGCATTTAAGAACAAGTCAGCAGTAGATTTCTTACTTTTAGCTTGGGGACTGTATTAGGGAATGGGGTGCTAACTGTAGAAAAGTATCTGTGTGATCTGCGTTGGCACTGCAGGAGTTGTGGCAAAGCAGAGTGCTGAGATGGGCAAAAGGTGAGAAGCGCTGGGACATGGAGGGCTTAACTGAAAGTCTGAAGTGTGCAGATAGAAGGGGTTGTTGGGAGGAGAGGGGTGGTCAAACTGCCAAGCATGAAAACAAGACACACAGACTGGGAAATCACATCAGCTGCTGCTATTTCTCAATAAGTATACCTATCACCCCTGTCATCCAGATTATCAGAAAAATTCAAGCTACTCTGTGAAATTTCTACACCCAATGAGATGAGGTGTCTTTTATTTTAGAAATAATGGTATTTCATCAGCTGCTTTCAGAAATGCTCATCCTCCAACCTTTAGCTTCCACTAGGAAAAAAGTCAAACCCTCTAACATTTAGATATAGAGTTAATTGCAGCATGTCTTTGTTTTCCAAATTATGTACAAACGTCTAATTGTGTACTGGGAAATGTTCTGCAGTAGAAAGTTTAAACAAAAACTTGGAGTTGAAATAGAGATTTTTTGACTGTTTCTTTTTTTAACAGAAGTGACAAATATTCCTTAACTCTCCAATCAGTTTTCTGTTATTCAGAAACATTTAACTCCCGGGTTCCACATTTCTCACTTGTGATTTTCATAGTTTCCCACTTATTAAAAAAAATTAAGAGAGGGGGAGGTTTCATAGTCTCCTGAATGAAATGCAGCCACCAAACCTTCAACATGTGGTTTCTTGCTGCAGTAAAGTCAGCTCTTGGCAGTAGTGATAAACTGTAAAACAGTTATTGCACAACTGGCACCATAATAAGCCGTGTTCAAAAGGAAACGTTACCAACCAGGAGAACTCCCCCAAAACACCCAGATCTATAGCCAGAAATTTTGTATTGCAATTTTAAGATCAGTTTTGGAGGACACCTTCCTTGATCAAACACTGATGCCTTTAAAGATTAGCGCTAGTGGCCTAATCACGCTGCACTTAGCTGAATTCCCTTTGCTATGGACTCATTAAATTCTTTTATTTTGGTTTGAAACCCTACCATGGCTTGGCAGAGAAACAGGAAATCTCTGCTGGGTGCTCTGGGGCTGTGACTGCTCTTCCGTTTTAACCCACAGACTGGGGGTGCTGCAGAAAACTGCAGCTATTCCCTTCCTATGTAAAGACCTCACAGCCCGTTTAAACTTTATGTCAGCCAAGAGGTTGGGACTCACAGAGAGAGAAAAAAATATTCTGATATGAAAAAAAATGGCTCAGTAGATCAATTAGATCTGATGTTTAACTTTAAATTAAACATAAATTTAGATCAGACCTGGGACACACAATGGTAACAAGCTCTACAACTGATCATAAATTTTCAGGAATGCTTTCATCCCACCTCATCCTGTGATAGGTCCAGCACCTGATGGTAAAGAGAAGTTGGATACAAGGAGGGGAGAATTAGATATAAGGAAAAGCTTTTTACAGTAAGGATGGTGAGGCACTGGCGCAGATTACCCAGAGAGGTGGTGGATGCCCCATCCCTGGAGACATCCAAGACCAGGCTGGATGGAACTCCAAGCAACCTGATCTAGATGTGAATGTCCCTGTTCATTGCAGAGGAGTAGGATCAGATGACCTTTAACTCCCTTCCAACTCAAACAATTCTATGATTGTTCTGTGATGATTCTAAGAGACTTTCCTGAATCACTGCTGTCATCTGGATTGGTGCTGCGCACAGAAAGGAAAGTGGGCTTCAAGAACCATCTGGCAACACTTGCCCTTTATTTGAACTGGGGTCTGTAAACCCAAGCATGATATGAAATACTCCACTTACTGCCACCAGCACTGTGTCTAGTGTGGCACTACTGCTCTAGCCTGGATGCCCATTAAAAAGCTGTGTGCAGATGCATCATGGACATCCCTACATCTGCCCAGGTATGAGGCAGGTGTGGTGCCTTGCAGTCTCATGTGGGCCTGTGGTAAGTGTCTGTCACATAGAAAGAGTGGGTGCTACCTGTATTTTGATTGTCAGGTGAACTATTGCCTGGCATTTGCTCTAGCTGGAATCCCCATACTATAACTCCTTTACCTGCAGCTGAACTACTACTACTAGGGAAAATGACAAACACTTTTTTTACCTGTGGTAACTTCAAAGCAAACCCAACCGGAAGCCTCCACCAGAAACAAAGGCATGAACTCACCTTCATAGAGAGAACTGAATTCTCCCCAGCCTGCCCAGCAGTGGAAGGATGCCCTGTAGTAGGATGGCTGGCACAGTCAGTACTACAAGGGGAAGTTATTGTTTTCCAGCATTTTGGCTAGAACTACTCTTGTGTTTTTTGGACAGAAATACATCAGTCAAAGAGCTGAACTTCTAACAGTGTGCCTTACAGAAGCTGGCTCTGCGCTGGTGCAGACACAGTTCTTGGTATAATAGGGCTGCTTCCTGGATGGTACATTCATATTTCTTCCCAATTTCTATATCACGGTTTGTATTTTAATGAAGATTCTAATTTAAAAGAAACAATTTGCACATGTTGGCAAAAAAAAAAAAGAAAAAGCCCTTCTGCCTACAACTCCTGCTCCCCTGAGCAGAGCAAATGGAGCATGAGATGTCTCTACATAAGGTGGATTGCCTGGCCTTGCTGTTGGACAACTGGACCAGGTTTTTGAGGAAGATGATGCTAGAATATATTAGAGATGTCACTACCTCTGAGACAATCAATTTGCTTTTCTGACTATTTTTCTTTAGAAAATGTAACTGTAAAATGTTTGCAGCTAATATTAAGTTCTCATTTCAAGTATCTGATGGCAATTTCCTCTGTGATTATTTGCACACTGATACTGGTAAGTTCTGAAAGATTTTTTTATTCTTGCCCCATTTGCTAACACTGGAATTGCATGCCTTTATCAACTTTCGAATGATGACAGTTGGAAGGGAACACACTACTAACTTGAACTTTTCAATATTTGTCTCTTTGGCTTTGTTAAACCCGCAGTGGTTTGATTCTTCAGTTCCTGCCCAAAGCATAACTTTCCTAGGGAGTCAAGTGTGGCGGGCTTAGGTAAAGCCAATGGGAGATTTCTCATCTGGAAAAAAAAAAAAAAAAAAAAAAAAAAAAAAAAAGGCAGTTTAGAAGGACAAACTGCTTTCAAAAACTGTAGGTTATAGAATAGTAATAAAGCAGTATATTGTATTCTCAGCTCTGAGTATTTCTTTCAAAAAAAGGATTGAGAAGAGTTATTATAAAAATTAACGGGAATTGAGATGAATTAATTTGTGTCACAGCTTTTATCCCCACTACTATATATTTAAAGATGTGACTTACAGGACTGCTGACCTTCTGCTTGCTGGGGGCTTTGTCCACTCTCCTGGATCACAGGAGAAGTGAGATGCTGGAACAGGCTGCCCAGAGAGGTTGTGGATGCCCCAGCCCTGGAGGTGTTCAAGGTCAGCTTGGATGGGGCCCTGGGCAGCCTGGTCTAGTATTAGAAATGGAGGTTGGCAGCCCTGCCTGTGACAGTGGGGTTGAAACTCGACATTCCTTTGGGTCCCTTCCAACCCAAGCCATTCTATGATTCTATGATTACATCCTTCTGCCTGGCCATAACTCACAGAAGCTAATTTGGGGGGAAAACAACAGTTTCCAGTTCCAGTTTGTTTCATCACAAACTGAATTGGATCTCTGCTGGTTAGTTCCATCTACCATAAATAGGTCTCATGCTCTGTCTGTGCATCAAAGCCCACAGCCAAGCACAGATAGCAAAGGGGTGGCCAAGGTTGTGGTCCCACTCTGTTGTTCCTGTAGGCATTCAAGGCAGCTGGCAGAGGGATCACTTGGAGGTTAAAGGAAGGCTCGGCCGCTGTTGTTACAAACTGGTTTCTCTTTTGTCCCTTCTCTAAAACCAGATGTAACCTCAGGCCACAAAATGGTAAAATGTGGCACTCCTTTGAGCGCAGCGGTGCGCTGAGCGGACCAGAGCAGCACACGGGCTTCTCCCCCAGCTCTGCTGGCTCCTGCCGGCATGTGCAGCTTCGTTTTCCCTTCAAACCTCCATCTGCCGAGGGATGCGGATGGCCGAAGGGGAGATTTTCCCCCGCCTGACAGTAGCCAAAAAAATAAAAATAAAAATAAAAATAAAAACCACCTCACCTGTTTAGCCCTTGAAGATAAAATAGAATCGCTATCTCCCGCAATATTTTCGGTAAAGCTACTCTAGGAGTTCGCTTCCTTCCTTCTAGCCTTTGCATCTCTACAGGTTTCCCTCTATTTTTTCATCTGCCCTCCTGGAACAAGAGGAATGCGCTGGCCGGGCGCCAACCAGGGCTCAGCGCAGGGTAACGTTTCACTTCAGATTTACGGGAAGGTGTTGGGAGTAAGAATCTGGTTTGGTGAGTTTGGGGCAGGGAGTAGCCAAGAGACAACCTTGCTACTGTGAGCGCAGAGAGAAGGGGAGGAGAGGGGGGGACGACAAAAAATAAAACCGCCCCGGAGCTGGGGGAGATCCCGGCTTTTACTCCCCGGGGTCCGGGAGTGCGCTGAGCTCCGCAGCGGGGAAGAGGCGAGCGCTCCCTAATCCCAGCCCAGTCTCAGCCCATCCCCGGTCCCAGACCGGTCCCAGCTCTGCGCCGCTCCGCTCCGCTCCGCAGGAATGTGCGGCTTAGCGCAGGAGCTTTGGCTGAACTGCTGAGCGCGGGGCTCTCCCCACGTCTTACTTCTCAAAAAGACTACATTAAAAAAAAAAAAAAAAAAAATTAGTACAGTGAGCCAAGAGTGGAGGCTCGGATCGGCTGTTGCTGTGAGCGGCGGCGTTGCGAGGAGTTGCTCAACTCTCACTTAGCAGCGGGGCCGGAGGGACAATGCGCTGAGTCGCTGCCCCACGGCTTCGCCTTCCCCGGATGGTGCCGGCGGCGGCGGGGCTGCAGGTAGGTGCCGCGTTTTGCTCTGTCGGGGCGGCAGCGGAGCGGGACAGAAGTTTGCTCAGACTACAAATTTGGGAACACGGGTGTTGATTATTTATTTTCGTGCATGTATATGTATATATTTTGTGGGCGGGAGGCAAAGAGAAAGGGTTGTGAAGGAGTTTCGGGGGGTCCCTTCTAGTGCCTCACTGCGAGCAGGTGGCAGACGAGGGGTAGCAGCAGGCAGTAACCGAGGGCAGGGAGAGAATCACCTGCGGGCGAGAAACTCAGAAATTAAGAGGGACGCTCGTCCGCGTCAAAGCAAATCCGCAGCCCCCGATGTCTTTGGAGGACCTTTCGGAAGGAGCGTTTGGTTTGTTCGGCTGTTCCTCCACAAAGTGCGGCACACTCAGGGCTGGCAGGTGGGCTCCGACTGCTCAGCGCCAGCAGTGCAGCAATGGGATCTGACCTGGGAAAAGTTTCTGATGTCCGTCTGCAATGCATAGATCGACCGGGGAGGGGGTCAGGCCTCGCCTTTGCTCTGAGTGTATGTGCCTAGATGGGAAATGCCGGGGGCTTCTTATTCGTGTTGTAAGTAGCTGCTGTGAGTTTGTTGTTATTTTGTTTCAGGGGGAAATCTGCACAGCTCATTTCCTTTTAGGAATTTAAAATAAACCTTTATGCTGAGCCGGGCTGGGACCCAACAGACCGCGCTATCCCTCCTAACGTTCTCAGCACCAGAGGGCAGGACTGGGAGATGGGGCTGCAAGGAGCCTCTCGTGGCAGCGCAAGCAGCCCGCCGGTGCCTCCGAGCCCCCGGCACGGTGCGGCCCGGCCCGCAGCCGCCGAGCTCCGGGGTGCCGCGGGTGCTGCGGTCCCGCAGGAGTCGGGGCGGAGCAGCGCGTAGCGGGCGGCCGCTCCCGTCCCGGCGCTCCGATAAAGCCGGCCCGCGTGTGCGGCCGGCCCGTGCCAGCGGGGCTGACGGGCCAACAAGCTGTCTGGGAGATAAACGGAGAGAGACAAACACTCTCCTTGCGCGCTTGGCCTCGCTCTCTCCCGTTTTCTTCCCGGCACAGTTCCCCCCTCCCCCCTCTCCGGTTTGTTTTAACCCGCTGGAGCCGAGGGCAGGTGCCGCTGCCCTGCATCCCCGCGGTGCTTTCTGTGCGGCTGCCGGGCACTGCGGTGTCCCGGGACACGGCACAACACAGCCCCGCGCTGGGGGTTGTTAGGGAAGCAGTTGGAGCTGACTGCCGGGTCAGTACAGTCGCTAATCGCGGCAGCCTGGGACGAGAAATCTTTGTTTGAAGTTTTAGAATGTGAAGGAATGCGCTGCCTCCAATAAAGCGGATTTAAAAATGTCGAGAGCCTTGGAATTAAAGTATTTAATGTAAGCAGCAGAGATGGCAAAGCCTTCGGGTAGCACTGTTTGAATGAGAGCTTGCACTGGGGTCTGCTGTCAGGGTTGGGCAGAGTTTCAGGGTGTAGCTGGGCAAACTGTAGAAACAAAACAGAAAAACCAAACCACTTGGATAAGAAGCAGAACAGCCTTTGCTAGTAGCTGTTAAAAATGTTTAATCACAGAAAACGTATATGGCAATTCTTACTTCTGCCATCATAGAAGTATTATTGGCTCTGACAACCAGTCTAACTGTTTTAACTGCATTCTGAAGCCATAGTTGTTGGATTGGGCAACACCGTATTCAAAACGTACCAAAGTCTTATTTTTCTTAAAGAGCAATAGGGAAAATGGCCTGAGGGTTACTCTGGACTGGGTCTGCAACACACGTGTGCTCACAGCACTGTGGGTGACAAACTCCAGCAAGTGTTGTAATCTTATGGGTGAGGCAGTAACTTACTATCAGCTTTTCATTCAACCTGCTGTTGACTGCCTGTGCATGATCTTCCAAATCACCAGTGCTCTGATTTAGTGAGAAATTTAGTATTTCTGTGAAGAAATGGTGATAGATACCTGAGTCACCAGATCCTCTTTCTGCTGAAATTAACAGATATCAATGACTTTGTAAGTAAAGTAAAGATCAAATTTGCTTTTTAGCATGGTTTGACCATGGAGGGGCAATCTCTGTGTCTGTGTATCAGTGTAGGGTAGCTGTCTCCTTAGTCAGGAGTTTAGATCCCCAAATTACCAATGGCCTGCACCCACAAACCCTCTCTAGGGTCACTTAGAAATTTGTTTTGTACAGGGATTTTTAGGTGCCATTTTCAAGGTTCAAAGTCGATCCTGCAAACAGGGCATTTTTTGCACTACACTTTGGAAGAAGGAAGGACTCTGACCTTTATCTTTCCAGTAAGAGGCCTAAAATAATATTTCTCTTCGGTTGTCTTTTGTGTTGTGTTCTTTTTTCCCCAATGAAATACTTCTGGGTACACCTAGCTCTTGCCAAGATCAGGAACATCTTCTCAGTAGCCTTGCAGAGACAATGTAGGCTTTGTATAGCTGTGGCTGTTGGGGTTTTGGCGACACAGTAAACTCAACAGAGCAAATCAACTTCTTAATAACTGCAGAGCTGACTACCTGATATTGAGGGCATTTTTGTCCTTTCCAGCCTTTCATTTACCATGATCACAAGCAAGCTTTTATTTGAAAAGGAGAGTTTTTTGTTATGTATTTTTGGAGTCAAAGCATATGTTTTACGAAACATATTGAGGGGCTGGATGTTGTGTTTTATCTAGTTAGGTCAGATAGCAGAGGCAAAATCAGTAGGGATGGCTCATTTGGCATGACACGGAAAAAAACTACAAATGCATGAGAAATCTCTGCCATGTGGTATAAAAGAATCATGAGACAACGCTAACTTTCAGCTGTTTCTAAAGCAGGCAAGGCTTTAACAGCCGCTGCCAAATGAAATGCTCTCTGTCCTATTTATCAATACAAGGACCATCTCAAAATCCACTCTGCAGAAGCACCACTCCAAGTGATGTCATTCAGGGTTCACACTGGCGTTTTGCCCCTGTGAAACCAGTGAATATTCCTGAATTTTACCTTGAAATAAACTGAAAAACTTTATTTTGGGTTGTTTTTTTTGTTTGTTTGTTTGTTTGGTCAAAGAAACCCATCGCAGTTGAGGGTGTAGGTTCTGCACCAGCAAGTTGAGGTCTCAATAGAAGCAAAGAAGTTATTAGTTATTGCATGATCGTAATCCTGGAGTTCCTGACTGAGGTGTTGGTGCTGTGTGCACCCAGATGCCACTGCGTTAAATGCTAGTGAGAAACAATAGCGGGGCAAGGCGGGGTGGAGCACTGAGAATGGTTAACTGTGTTGGCTGGCAGAGGGGTGAGTGCTGCCACTGGATGCTGTTGTGCTATTTCAGCAGCACAGGGGCAACGTATTTGATTTCTTAGAGAATGGAGGCCTGAGAAACAAGCACAGAAGTGAACTGTTTACTCGAGGCATAAGGCTATGAAAATGACCCTTGTAGTAGCATTTGGAACATGACTGCAGTTATGAAAGTCAGAGAAAAGGATGTTCCTATCATGGAGATCATGAAAGGGCAAGAGCCCAGAATGGAATTTTAACTATGAGGATGGGTAGAATAAGCAACATTTTGGCCAGGGAAACAGAAAGCTTCAAGAGGTTTTGGCTGCACCTTGAAAGCAAGGCCTTTTAGAAAAGAATTGTGCCCTGTCTGGCATAAGGACAGTAATTATCACTAAGGAAATGAGAGAGACTTGGGATACCCCATGAGATATCACATGCTTTATGCATGTTGAGCAGGAAGCAGTGGCTGGGCTTTGAGCAGATAACAGCAAAAGTGGGTGAGGGGCATCAGTTGGGTTATAGTGGTGGGAAAGCAAAGCAAAAGGAATTGAACTCTGAGGAGAATTTGCAATTGAAAGCAAAAAGAAGTCATCAGGGCTGGTGCAATGGACATCACAGGAAGGCTGAATGATGGGACTAATGGGGGAATCTAATGGATGGTGCTGAATAGGACCACTTGAAGGTTAGTGCAGGGAAAACTCAGCAGTAAAGAGCCTGGAGCCTGAACAGTGCATGTCAAATGAACAGCTTATTTCTGAGCAAAAGAAAGGAATCAAGGCAGCAGAGGGAGGCAGTAGGAGAGGGAGGTGAGGGTTAAGATAAACCGTTGACATAAATTCGCCATATTGTGAGGAAAAGAGGAAGACAGAGAATCAAAAACAAAGGAGGAAGGTGGAGAAACTGAATGACAGGAGACGTCTGCATGGCATGGAGGAAGAAGTGAGAGATCTTCATAGAAAGAGTGAGAGGTTGAGGAAAAAGGTCAACCCACTGGGTACAGTCTGGTGCCTGGCAGGGAACATCTGAGAGGAGATGCTTGGTTAGGGTTGGAAAGTCTTGCTGTTAAGCAACAAGCAGGGAAGGGACCTGGAGGGAAGGAAGCACAAAGAGACTGTGGGTAACAGCTCTTTAAAGCTAGTGTGTGTGCTGTAGTATGCACAGAAATAGTGGGTATGAGGGCTGGGTAGGTAGCATGCAAGGCACAACTGTGGGAGCTTTCAAGGCTGGAGAGCAGGGAGGTGCTCAAGTGGGGAAAAATGGCACCAGCAGCAGGGAGGGGAGGTAGAGGCAGGCATGAATGCACATGCAAAGACCTGTTCCCAAGGTGGTTTTACAGTAGAAGAGCACATTCAGTTCACCTTAATAAAATATTCACATTGTTACTGTGACCTTAGGCCGTGTCCACACCATGTGTGCGCTTTTGGCAGTAAAATTCCTTTTGGCTGTGGATACTTCAGTTTCTCTGGAGTTCACACTCTGGTATCCATGTCTTTATGTGAGTGCTGCTCCTCACAGGCAGCACTACTCTGCCATTAGGATTCACATTAAAGATAATGCTAATAAGGTACCTGAAGCTCACAAGATCATTGCAGCTGGTAAATCTGTGAGAAGAGAGAGATTTCACTGGTGACTGTATTCAGTCTGTTGGGATTGCAGAGCAGTCTGTCCTTTACTTCTTGGCCTTGTGAAGTGGGAAAGAACAGGCTAGGCATCTTGAATGGATGGAAAGCTGGAAGCGCCTCAGGTT